GAGAGAGAGAGAGAGAGAGAGAGAGAGAGAGAGAGAGAGAGAGAAAGAGAGAGAGAGAGAGATGTACAATACCACACATACGCTCCCACCATGATTTGTTACTGCACGTCGAGACGGACAGTCAATCTAAACATCTCAGGTCTATTAAAAATTTGAGGTGAATAAAAAAAAAAATACATCAATGGAAAAACAATGTAGAAGTGGTGCCTACGGAGACTAATACGAATTCTAATTTAAAAAAACAACGAACCAAGTCAATTACACAATTTCGTTCAACAAGGCAGAGGTGAAGTTGTAATCATATCACTGGATTCTCCTCCTCCAATTGCACTTCTCCCGCCTAACTCGTCCTCACCCTTTTAATCAATATCAGCGGTTAAGGTGTCGAGGTTGCGAGAACGGTGCATTCCCTCCACATCCCCTCCCTTCCCGCCATCCCCACCGGCCCCTCCCTGTGGTGTCAGCGGTGATTGTGCATCACCTTTGCCAGTGCATAAAGACGGTTGCAACTGACTCTCCGCCACGCTCGGCCCAACATCAGACTCTGACTCGATCTCGGATCTGCCTTGCATTGCAGCATTTGTTATCAATAAACTCCCGTATGTGGCACCTGCATCCGACGGCAACGTCGTTGACACATCGATGGGTGGGGACGATTGTGCCGCGGCGACCGAGATGAATTTTTTCGATATTTGCGGCTTAGACGTGATGTCAACCTCTTGAGGCCCGACAGCAGTAGTCCCGTCATCTCCCCTGTGCCCTGCTTGCGCGGCCACAGAGGTCGGCTCGGCCGAAGGCATGAAATTATGAGAGCAGCTCTCCTCCAAGGTTCTGGCGGTTTGATCAACCTTCCAGTTGATTGGCCCGCGTGAGGGACTCGAGGGCAGGGCATAAAATTTGTTGTTGTACTCCAGTTGCAAATTGTCGCGCAAGACATGAAACAATTCTTCGGCCTTGACTTTAATGGCGGCCTCGCTCTGCCCTGGATTCTCAACGCGCACGCGATGCAGGATTGCGAGTTCCGTCGTTTTCAACCAGATGTCCTTTGACATCCGGCGAAAAGTCTTTCAACTGCTTGTGTATTTCACCGCCATCTTTCACTCCCCATCTTGGATGCACGGCTGTAAAACGCCCTCATGCCATATGATGTCATGGCCCCACAGATCCTCGCCTGTGTGGGTGTGTTTGCCCTCCAAGAAATATATCGTGTCCGGGTCAGCACAGTAGCCTGGAGGAATTTCATCGCCTGGTGCGAGCGCCGACGCCTCGCCTGGTATCTCAATGTCGTCTTCTTCATTGCCACCGCATCTTCCAATGTCTTGCAATCCAGCAGTCTCCGACAGGGCCACCATTGAGGCGACGCTTGGGGCGGTCATCAGGATGGACTCTCCATGTGAATGGACAGTTCTGTCATCGTGA